ATGTCCGGGATGATGCACGTCTTTTATTTTACCGTAGCTGTTTTGATATTGGAGTAAATGCTTATTTTCGAAACATCCCCATTTCTTTGAAATGGTTTCGTCCGTTTATGCAACTGTTACTGCGCTAATGACGACCAGTCGCGCTGTCCTGATACACCGCGAATGTGCGAGTGTTCCCTGTAGACAGTCCCGGGAGTCATTTTTTTCGCACATTCCAGGAGCCAAACCAAAATACGTTCATGAACCGAGTCCAAAAAACCGAAACGTGAAAATCGGATGATCGGACCTGATGTACATTTCTCTTTCTATAGATTGTACACACAATACACACATCTTTAGATAATCTGGCCATGGCAGGTAAAAAAAAGTAACCCTGAATCATACTAGATTAGCGTAAATGCATGTTAATGCGTTCAAAACAAGAAAAAAATTGTTTCCGGGTATTAATCTCTTGAATCACGGCGCTGAATATTGACGCAAAAATATTTCGGGCATCGCGCGCCCTTCCCGCGTCACGTGTAGGCATCTCGCATCTCTGATTGGTTGTTGGGTCTTAATATGACTGAGCCGACGCGCGTTTAAACAATTTTTCTTTGTTCGATTTATCACACTTCACAGAGAATTGTCGCCAATGGCTACTTCTTTTTGTTGCAATATATAATACTTCACGGAGAATTGTCGCCTATGGCTTCTTGTTTGCTATTTTGGTGTAGTTAACATGTACTTGCTGACCAAGACAATAGAGATCTAATAAACATTTATAATTAAAGTTAGGCCACACCAATTTAATTTGTTGTTTCTCTGATTCGCCTTGTCCATTTTTTCTGATGTGCAAAAAAAAAATTTTTTTTGTTCTAAATCAGCTACAAAATTCTCAATCAAGACATATTTTGGCCCAACGGTTGAAGAAAGTCCTTTTCTTCCCAGTTGTTAAAGTTTTTCAATGTAACAGTGCAATTTTGTTTCATCAAAAGTTCAAAATCTATCGTTTTAGCTGTAAACCAGCCTGGTATGTTCACTTCATGGCTCATATTGTAACATTTCCGGCTATCATGGGGTGCCTTGGCCTGTTTTTTTTTTTCCCTGTCGCTCCATATTTTTTTCAAATAAATCTGAGAAATAACAAATTAAATTGGTGTGGCCTAACTTGCCTTAAGATGATACCAATATATTGATAGATGTACCAATATGTCTGATGTATTCCATGCGAATAAGAGAAAGGGGGTAGAAATTATGACTGGACAGGCTCCAGTGCCACCAGTCTAACCCTCTAATCCTAGGTCAAATACACAGGACCAAACTTGTTTCTCCCGTCGCCAATGCCGGGTCTTGTCCCTGAGAAAACCTTAAGGAACAACACGTCCTTGTGAATACACAAGGAGTCCATAGTTAGCGTCTCAGCCAGAGAAAGTGTGTACACAAGACTCAGAGATTGCCTGGTAGAGCGGCGACAACTTTGGGAAGAAAGTTTGAACAGTTACTAGTTTATTGAGAGAAATAGTGAATTCTATATTGTTTCCCCTCTGTAACACGAGTCTTTGTCCCCATCAGTACACCTACAGGACAGTCTTGTTTTCAAAGGAGGGCCTCAGTAATGTAGCATGTTGTTTGGAGGCAACTTTGGGAAGAAAGTTTGAACAGTTATTATTTTATTGAGAGAAATAGTGAATTCTATAATGTTTCCCCTCTGTAACACGAGTCTTTGTCCCCATCAGTACACCTACATGACGTTTTCAAAATCATATCCAGTTGCTTGAGTAACTGTTTTTTGGCATATCGTATTACCTGGATGTCTAACCTTCATCGACGCACCTACAGGACAGTCTTGTTTTCAGAGGAGGTCCATAGTAATGTAGCATGTTGTTTGGAGGCAACTTTGGGAAGAAAGTTTGAACCAGTGAGGGCTCGAAATTCATTTTTGGGAATAGGTGCACTGGTACATTAGGACTTAGGTGCACAATAATTTTTTTGGGTGCACCATATGAAACAAAACCTAATTACAGATCTTACTGCTCCTCTTGTGAGCTTGAAATGGGAGCTACATTAATTTTGTAACTTCAAAATCTTCAAACAAGTACTACAACAAAGATTTTATTATTTTTCTGGTGCTTAGATGCCAAGAATATCCTGCATACTATTATCTAATATGTCCAAAAATACCTACAAAAATATTTGGGTGCACTGGTGCACCCACAAAAAAGAATTGGGTGCACAGGTCCAATTTTGGGTGCACTAAGGTGCACATGCACCCTCGCCACCCAGTATGAAAGTTCATCTGTGTTGGTAGTTTATCATAGTAAAACATTGAACAGCTTAATTCCAACACAAAGTTACACAGAGATCAAATTTTCAGCGACCACTGTTGCCTTCATCAGGATAATTAATGACCAATCACTTCACTGATAACTGACTTCAGGTCATTAATTATCCTGATGAAGGTGACAGTGGTCGCTGAAAATTTGATCTCTCTATAAACTGTGTAGGAATAAAGTTCAACGTTTTACAAAGTTTGAATAGTTATTGGTAAATGCTAAAACAACATTGCAGCCAACTAAATCAGATGTAATATACATGTATATAAATAAGGTTGCCAATAATTGTGTGATCTTTAATACAGATATGCAATTAACAAAAACAAAACATCATCTTTGACAAATAAAATAACACATGTCAATGAGAAAATTTGGTCCTGGACCACTAGAATTTGAAAGATGTATGAAAAGTTAGCCTCTACCAGGCTTCCAAATGGCAAACTTTTCTCCTTTAGGCCACACCAATTTGATTTCTTGGTTAACGGATTCGCCCGCTTCATTTTTTTTCAGATTTTCAAATAAAAATAAGAATTCAGAATCAACATTGTTACAGTTATTGCATCTTTCAATGCAGTGGTATCATTAAAAGTTCAAAGTTCATTGTTTAAATTTTGAACCAGCCTGGTGTGTTGACTTCATGGCTCCTATCGTACCATTTTGGGCCATAATAGGGTGCCTAGGCCTGTTTTTATTTTTTTATTTTTCGCCCGCCCGCTCCATTATTTTCCAGAAAAATCCCTTAACCAAGAAATTAAATTGGTGTGGCCTTACTGGACCAACTTCCCTGGCATGTTATCTGTCTATTTGGCCAATTTCTACACTTTTTCCAGCCACCTCTGAAGCCTGGTAGAGGCTAATAAAAAACCTCAAAAACATGCCTGAAACACTGAGCCAATCAATACATCTGCTTGGAGATTAGTTGAATAACACACACGTTAGGCCACAGCAGGTAAATTTTATGGATGACATCCTCCGCAGACTCCAAATCTAGTGCGAGCGGGTGAAAAAAAACAAGACGGGCCGAAAAAAACAAGGTTCCTACATTTTAAAATTTTGACTCAATCATTGTACAAATGGTTTTGATTCAGTGGGAACATCACATATGTAGCCAACATCACATATCACTGCATCAAAGTAAGAAACAAAACATTAGATCAGAGCCTTTTCTTGTCTCCTCTCTTCATAATTATCTGGCATCCACCTTCCGGCACGGCAACAGACATCTTTGCCCATTTTTGGCATGTTGACCACTGTCAGAAGGCAACAAAATTTCTTGTTTTTCTTTCCCCAAAATCAGGCGAAAATTAATGTGCGTGCTGATGTTATCCATAAAAATTACTTGCTGTGGCCTTATGATTTTATGACCATGTTGAGTTTATCTTAACAACAGGGTGTTAATTGGTTAATAAGAGTAAGTTTGTTGTTGTAAGTACTTTAGGAGTTCCTGTTGACTCTAAGACCACTCTTGGTCCCTTATATAAACTCTGGGATGGTGCCAGGACTAAGGCCGACTTTAGACTGACGACGGTATACGATCGCACGACAATCGTTGTGGGCGACGGCTGGCTTTAGACACATGACCAGAAAGCGTGGCGGACGCCCGCAGCGCCGGATGGCATGTCGCGCGCCAATTCAAAATGGCGAGAGAACCCCTTTTTTCGGCATGCTGCAGCTCGGACCCCCCGCTGAAGGATCGCACGATAGGGTCCGAGGTGGTAGTGACGACGATTCGAGGATTACCGTCGTGCGACTATTTTGATCGTCTTTAGACGGTGGTAAAATACCGTCGCCGGCAACATCTTGACAATAAACATTCGTACGACTATTTAACCGTCGTCAGTCTAAAGTCGGCCTAAGTTACATGTAGGTAGCAGTCTTGAAAAAGACTTTGGACAAGAACTTTCGATACTAATTTCTTGTACATTAAACATATGTATTCTAAACTCTAGGCCACACCAATTTAATTTGTTGTTTCTCAGATTCACCCTGTCCATTTTTTCCTGTTTGGCAAAAAAAAAAAATTTTTTTGTTCTGAATCAACTGCAAAATGCTCAATGAAAGACATATTTTGGCCCCAATGGTTGAAGAAAGTCGTTTTCTTTCTAGTTCTTAAAGTTTTTCAATGTAACAATGCAATTTTGCTTCATTTAAAGTTCAAAATCTATTGTTTTAATTATAAACCAGCCTTGTATGTTCACTTCATGGCTCATATTGTAAAATTTCCAGCTATCATGGGGTGCCTTTTTTTTATTTCGCTCTGTCGCTCCATATTTTTTCTAAAAAAAATCAGAGAAACAATAAATTAAATTGGTGTGGCCCTCTAAACCTTTGAAAATCGCAGTTAATGTACAATAACGATCTTTGATGAAAATATATACAAAAATAGATGCTGATTTAGGGATTTTTTTCTGCAAACTTTCCTGTAAAATTGATAGTTGACAGACAATAACATTTTCAATCTTCTTAATCTAAAGATAAAGAAAACTGATCACATGCATATAACAGAGTTTACTTCAAATTCCATTTTGTTGATTTTACAGAATTTGTTGTTTATTTTTTTACCCTCAGGAGTTGGGAAGACGAGTGTTGTGATTCGCTACGTGGGTAAACTGTTCAGTAAACATGTCAGCCCTACGATTGGTGCTTCCTTCTTCACATTCAAGATGTAAGTATGGTAGTTTTCATACATTGTAACATTTTTCATCAGGAGGGCTCGAAATTAACTTTTCTTCCTATTGTCCCAGCACTGTCCCAAAAATAATAACTTTGAGTTGCCCAGATGTGAGGAGATGGGGTTTTGTGCGCGTGAAAAATTTGCGCGCGCGTGAAAAATTTGCGCGTGAAAATATGCAAATTAGCCGATTCCCAAGGGATTTAAAAACTTTTTGCTGTTTTGGACTTAAAAATACAGATGAAAAGTCATGAAATAGAATTGAGTATCATATTATCACATTCTAGAGTACATAGCCTTGTTTTGTAAACTTTTCAGTGACTTTTAGGTGATTTTCAAAGTTTAAGTTTTCACGCGCAAAAAAGTTTGAAATTTGCGCGTGAAAGAAACTGCTTCATAAAATGCCAAATCAAGCTTATAGAATGGAGAAAAGCCTGGAATTGTTAAATTTAACAATACAAAACCTTGTATTAGTAACTGTTCCATGTTTTTCTGGCAAATTCAAGTAATTTTTTAATTTTGATGTTTCTTGGAAGATATGCAAATTAACCTATTCCCAAGGGACCTAAAAATTCAAACTGAAATTTCAGGTTGTAGATGGAAAATCATGTTACAGGGTAACATTTTTCTGCATTAGAATTTGGTACTGCATATTTTCTGACATTTTGAAAGGACTTTAATTTTTCACGCGCAAATTTTTCACGCGCGCGCAAATTTTTCACGCGCAGAAAACCCGTTCCCGATGTGAGGATGAAGTGTCCCAAACTATTTTTTGAGAAGTATTGTATGACTTCAACTTGAAGTCAACTTTATTTTGCTTATGTTCACTCCCAGGCGCACTACAGACAGGAAATTTGGCGGGAGTTTTGGGATCCAAAAGTCAGGATGTGTGCCTGATAAACAAAAGAAGGGCTGATATTCTGATGTTGATTATTTTTCTATTGTCTCAAAAATGTCCCAAAGTGTCTTTTTAGTTGTCCCAGCCTAAATTGTAGTGAACTTCCGGTTTTTATATCTTTTGTCCTGAACATGCTATGGACTTGATGTTTTGGTGACAGATAGCTTATCCTGTCAGGAATAAGTGGTGTGAGTTTGGTCCCCCTAGCAGCTTGTTCTGGAACTGCAGGGCACTTTCTGGCAAAATGTTTCAAAGCCAATACTAGTAGTAAGTCCAGATAGGAACAACATATTTTCATCATTTTTGGTGTGTAGGTAGCTGAGAGAAAGATGAACCTAATTAAATGCAAATTATGCAAATGAGGACTTTATTTGCATACTTAATGAGGAAATTCTATAATTACAGTGTTTTATTTTGTTCTGCATTTTGTTTGTAGGACAGTAGATGACTACAGGGTAAAGTTACAACTGTGGGACACAGCAGGCCAGGAGAGGTTCAGATCCATGGTCAGTCTTTCTCCATAATTTTCTTTACGTCTCATTCTATTTTTTTTTTACCTGGTCCTTGCATACAGCGGCCAGATTTGGAATGTATGTATACAGCTGTTTCCTGTAATTTCAAGATTTTGGAAGTGATTTCCTTCAGCTGTTGTAAAATTCAATAAATAGATGAATGTCAATTTGAATCTTCCTAAACTTCTCTGGATTCCTGCTGCCTAACACCAGGGGTGCCAGAGTATACAGTGCAGTTTTACGGAATACAGTGCAATCATATTAGTATACTTGTCTTGTAAAATTGCACTGTATACTAGCAAAATTGCACTGTATACTATGCGATTGCAAGTTGTATGCCATAAAATTGCACTGTATACTCAGTCTAGAAAAATTGTACTGTATTTCATAAAATTGCACTGTATTCCGTAAAATTGCACTGTTACGGAATTTCATAAAATTGCACTGTATTCCGTAAAATTGCACTGTATTCCATAAAATTGCACTGTATTTCGTAAAATTGCACTGTATTCCATAAAATTGCACCGTATTCCATAAAATTGCACTGTATTTCGTAAAATTGCAAGTTGTATTCCGTAAAATTGCACTGTATTCCGTAAAATTGCACTGTATTCCATAAAATTGCACTGTATTCCATAAAATTGCACTGTATTCCTTAAAATTGCACTGTATATTCTAGCACCCCTGAACACTGTAACCAACAGGGAAACTTCGTAGCCAAACGGATACTGCAATGTTAAGAATAAACCTGAGGAGCCTATATGCTTGATGTGGATTTTTCTAGACACCCTCTATGACTTTCTAATCAAGCTTCAAACTGGTAATGTAAAATTTCAACTTTCTTCCAACACAACAGAAATGAAACACTCACACCATGAATTTCTGTTGCATTGAAACAAAGCTTTAAAGGGGGCCCTCAAGCCCTGTTCCGTAGAGCGTAATTGACCGTTTTAATTCTACGTAGAGCGTAGACGGACTGCTCTTAGACTAATATTTTTGCGTAGAGCGTAATCGCCATTTTAATTCTACGTAATGCGTTGTAGCCACTTGGAATTTATTGTAAAGCGTAATCGAGAGGTTTCCGAACTCAGCGTAGAGCGTTGTCGGGACCCCCCCTTGCAGGCCCTCTTTAAATTTTACAACACTTTACTCGAAGCTTCAGACGGCTTTCCCATTTCCTACAGTAAAAATGTCAGCTATGGTGGGAATGTGGCAGAAAATTCGGCTGTGTGGGGTTTCCCTTTGTAGGGATGGCCTTGCGGAACTAAAATGTTTGTCTTCCTGTCGTTTGGAGTATCATTTGGCAGGATGGAATTAGAATTAGCATGTAGCGTCACAAGTGATTCCCTTTTTCCCCGGTACATGTATCTCACTCAGTCCTGTCTTGTCACTTGTTTTAGATCTTTAGGCCACACCGATTTGATTTGTTGGTTCTCAGATTTTTTCAGAAAAAATATAAAGCGACAGGGTGAAATAAAAAATTTAAAAAACAGGCCAAGGCACCCCATGATAGCCAGAAATGTTACAATATGAGCCATGAAGTAAACATACCAGGCTGGTTTATAATCAAAACAATAGATTTTGAACTTTTAATGACACAAAATGAAATGGTTACATTGAAAAACTTTAAGAACCAGAAAAAAGGGACTTTTTTTCAATGGTTTGGGCCAAAATATGTCTTTCATTGAGCATTTTGCAGTTAATTAATTTTTTTTTTTCCAAATCAGAAAAAAATGGACAGGGCAAATCCATGAAACAACAAATTAAATTGGTGTGGCCTAGGCCTTAGGAATGACTGCTAGTGCAGGGGTTGAAATTCATTTTTAGAAAACTTATTTCATTCTGTAAGAAATTACAAAAAGAAATGCAAATTCATAACCCTGTGAATATGTCCTCCTTGTATGACTTAACTGTACTACCGTAACGGAATAATTATTGTTTCAACCACGATTTCAAATCACTGCAAAAACCTCTCTTTCCCTGTCGCAAAATGACACGTTCACCACAAAAGTTTCAAGTGAGAAAAATTGATAAAGATTGGTAATTTTTATTAATTGTCTCTGATTTCTTTTCTGAACTGATTTCATTTTGTTTTGATGTATGTATGTATGTTTTTTTCACAGTACAAATTAGTGCTGCATACCTAAACCCACATTTAGGTTCAGGTCCGGATTCAAGTCCAGAGGTTTAGGTTCAGTTCCGGACTTGTAAGTCCAGACCTAAACCCATGGCATATACAAAATTGCATGTTGGCAACCTTGCAATGTTGTCTGGGTGAAACTTTGGCCACATAAGATGGAGGCCGGTACTTGACGATGCCCGATGGCAATGTTTTCTTCATTTTGCAGCAAAGATTTTGCAATCTACGGAAGGTTTTAGGTGGTTTGGAAAGAAAAGGGGTATGTGAAATGGTCTTTTATGTTCTTAATAAGTCCGGACTCGGTTCTTGACTTTTAGTTTTTTTTGGACTTGAACCTAAACATTCTTACAAGTCCGGATCCAAGTCCAGTGAACCGGTATGCACCACTAGTACACATTATAGAACTCTCTAGATTTGCCCTTAGCTGCTATTTAGTATTGACACAGTACACACAAATTCAGGGTCAGGCTTTCATTTATCAAACGTGTCAGAACCTCCGCGGTGAAATAAAACAATGATCACAAAAGTTTCAAGACTCATAGTACATGTACAATTGCAACATGTATGTACTAGACATTTTGGAACTCTCTAGATTTGCCCTAGGGCCACACCAATTTAATTTCTTGGTTAAAGGATTTTCCTGCTTCATTTTTTTCTGATTTGCAAAAAAAAAATTCAGAATCAACTGCAAAATGCTGATATTTTGCCCTGAACATTTGCAAACAGTCCTTTTCTTCCTAGTTGTTAGTTATTCCATTTTTCAATGCAAATGTATCATTAAAAGTTCAAAATTCATTGTTTAAATTTTGAACCAGCCTGGTGTGTTCACTTCATGGCTCCTATCGTACATGTACCATTTTGGGCCATAATACAATGTAGGATGTCTAGGCCCGTTTGTATTTTTATTTTTTTCCTGCCTGCCCGCTACATTATTTTTCTAGAAGAAAGCCAAGAAATTAAATTGGTGTGGCCTAAGCTGCTATATATTGACACAGTACACACAGCTCCAGGGTCGGGCTTTCATTCATCAAACGTGTCAGAACCTCGGCGTGAAATGTCACGTCGTCCCCTCTCCCCCCGCCGCGACGGTCTTCACACGTCGTCTGGCCAGGAAACACGTCCGGGTAACAGCGGGCAGCGAAATGTCCGGCACGCTGCGAGAAGGAATAAACGACAGGCTTCAAAGTTGTTGACTGAAGTAGTTGTGTTAAAATAGAATGATAAAAAAAAGAGAGATAAAACTTCAGGCTACCTACATGTACATGTAGTCTCAATGGAACACAAACTAAAAGCCACGCTGCAAGAGAGAATAAGCGACAGGCATCAAAACTGTTGACTGTAGTTGTGTTAAAATGATGAAAAAAAGAAAGATAAAACAAAGGAACCAACTTAAAGCCATAGTTTTGCATGTCGCAAGAGAATAAGCGACAGGCATCAAAGCTGTTGACTGCATGAAGTAGTCGGTTAAAACGCTGAAAAAAAAAGAAAGATAAAACTAGGGACTACCTAGCCTCAATGGAACCAACTTAAAGCCAAAGTTTTGCATGTCGCAAGAGAATAAGCGACAGGCATCAAAGCTGTTGACTGCATGAAGTAGTCAGTTAAAACGCTGAAAAAAGAAAGAAAGATAAAACTAGGGTACACTAAAGCCTCAATGGAACACTAAAGCCACAGTTTCCGGCATCAAAATGTTTTCTGGGAAAGAGAACAAGCAACAGGTATCAAAGTTATTGACTGAAGACTAGTAGTCACGTTAAAATGATTTTTAAAAAACCTGGACTAGAGGGAACACTAACTTAAAGCTACAGTTTCTGTCGGCAAAATGTTCGGCACGCTTGGAAAGAGAACAAGCAACAGACATCAAAGTTGTTGACTGAAGATTAGTAGTAGTCGCGTTAAAATGATTTTACAAAAAGGTAGAACTAGGAACTACTGGGGACTTCTTCCCTTTGTTTCTCCAGGCTCCCATGTACTACAGAAAAGCCAATGCAGCTCTGCTGGTTTACGACATCACCTGTAGGGAAAGCTTTGAGAACATCCAGTCTTGGGTAGATGGTAAGTATGTGTTCTTATTTATTTTTATCAAAAACTTATAACTGTTCTCCAACTCCAAATATGACTCACCAGAAATTTTCGACTGAATCACTGACTCAGTCTTCCTCAGCTATCTGACCCAAGTGCTGTGGACACGTGATTTTTCCCACGTGTGACGTCAGCAAAGGGTCAAAGGTTGTCTGAAGTCGATATCGCCCCCCGTCCCGGTTGAGCGATGGTTGAAGTGCCCTGATGTATATGGCCTCTTTTATGCCTCTCTTGAAGTAGTCCTGTTCGGTATCCAAGATTCTGACCCCCTCTAGATCCACTGTCTTGGTGACTCTATGTGGATGTGCTGTGACACCTCAGATGCAACAGAACTTGGTCATCTATGTTCTAGAAACCTGGTTTTTAGTGAGCGCTCAGTTTCCCCGATATAAGATTTTGGAAAATTTCCTGGTGAGTCAAATTTGGAGTTGGAGAAGAGTTTTTCATAATGTAATTTACCAACTCAGATGAACTTTCATGCTGTTCTTATTTATTTTTATTTATTGGTTTGCCTGTTGAGCACACACAGCCAATTGTAGATGTAGAAGCTTTTTTTCCATAGGACACAGAAAACAATATTTTTTGTGATGATTGTTTCTTCTTGTTTGTAATGGACAGAGTTGAAGAAAAATGTGGAAGGCACGATCATCATGTGTGTGATCGGCAACAAGACGGACCTAGCGTCTCGGCGTGAAGTCAGCCGAGAAAAAGCAGAGCAGTACGCCGACTCTATAAACGCACTGTACTACGAAACATCAGCACTGACTAATGATGGTAAGTAGACAACCTAATATACATGTACTGTACAAGCTTCTGAAAATAGATTTTGTAATGACAATGACAATGACAATGAACTTTATTGCATGTTCACGCCCTACACGGGCCAAATGCACTTATAAGTTAAATAACTTGGTAACAAGAATAGAAGAAGCCATTGTTACATTCGCGTGCTATTTCTCTATCTACAGGATCTAACTACAGGATCTCTTCTCTCTTTTTGAAACATGTAGGAACAAATTTACATAGTTTTTCAATTATATCATAGCGCTTGGATGTCATGATATGTTTGAACAATTCTATTTTCGGCAAGTATGCATATTTCTTTTCTAACTGTAAGGAGCTAATAAAGGATTTCCGGATGTCATTGTATACCGCACATTCTAAAACAAAGTGTGCTTCATCCTCTATACAGTTATAGTTACATAGAGTGCAAATTCTGCTGTTTGCGGGAGTCTGGTTATACCTACCGATTTCGATCTGTAATTGGTGATCACTAATCCTTAATTGTAGTTACTAAGTATATATGATGTTGGGGTTTTCTTTTACACAACTAGATTTTGCTGGCTTTTTGTGTCATTTGTTCAAATGTGCCTAATGCTAGATTAGCTTATTCAATTTTCAGCTTTCTCAAATTTTGAAACCACATGAAATTTTTTTCACACCTTGTGTCCATATTACTTTCATTTACCATGTAGGAATCCATTTAACTCTAGATGTTTCTTTTTGTGTCATTTTGTTTGTAACGGTTATGAATATTGTAATTAGTTGATGAAATATTGTGACTTGCTAAGTCCCCTGATAAGAGTGACTCTCATTTTCATCAACTTTTGAAATCACATTTTTTCATACCTTCATATTATGTATGTCTTCAGCAAATATGGTGACACTATTGAAAGTTTACTTGTACAAATTACAGTACTAACTTGTTGGTTTTACGGTAGTTGAATACGAATTGAATTGTAAACCTTCAGCTTTTGCTGCAAGGCTGATTTCCCAAGGCATTGTACTACTAGTACTTCTACTAAGGCCATACCAAGTAAATTTTATGGATGACGTCCTTTGGAAACCCTAAATCTAATGCGAGAGGGCGAAAAAAAAAAATTTGCAAGAAGGGCCCTAAAAAGCAAGATGTCTAGATTAGAAATATACTAATAGACGACAAATGTTAGGACACAAATTGAATGAGGTGACAAGAAGTCTTTTATTCATCATCAAAACAGCAATAAATCAGGTGGAACAGCAGTTGTCATCTTGTGCTTTGGGGAGATAGATGGAGCGGTCAGCAAGTTTCTTCAAATGTGGCAGCATGTACCAAACTAAACTATCCTAAAGGAAGTCATGATTTCCTTGCTTGATGCTTCATAAGCTTTGGTCCGTACAAACCTATTTGTGGCACTGTCGTGACTCTTTGGTCATAGTTACAGGAAGCAGAATTTCTTGTTTTTTTTTCTGGGAACTGTGAGGCCAAAATCAATGCGCGCGCGAACGTCACCCATAAAATTTACTTGGTGTGGCCCAACAGTAACTTCATACTTTCGTTTGTCACAGGAATCCAGGAGGCATTTTTACAGGTGTCGCTGTCGCTGATCAAGCTCAGTCAGACGGACAAGTCCAGCGGTTTGACCGTTTACGACGGGAGCGCGAGTCTTCTCAACGCCGACGGAATTATCGAGGACGGAATGCACGACATGAACAATCACAGACGGCGAACGGACTCGGAAGACTCAAACACACCCGCCTGTTGCAGCTAGCTGAACTAGTCCAACCTTCTCATCAGTGATGGTTTTTCAGCACTGCCACCTAGCACACTGTTGCAGAACTGCAGTGCATGACGCAAGTTACTTCTCAAAGATGATTTGAACTTGCACCGAGTGTTTCACTCAACACCTGTGAGAAATGTGAACAAGGTGGATTGCTTGTGAAGAGATGGCAAGCACCTGATGTCTCGGGAATCGAACCCGGAACCCATGAGATCTGTGAATTTGCTGATTCTCATGATGGTGATTTCTCTGTGTGGTTTTCCAAGGAATCACCTACACGTACTTCTCGAATGTCGTACTCAAGTGATGTTTTTTGATTGTTCTGTAAGTGTTCTACATAATTGAAGCATTCATAATTGATTTGTCTTGTTCTCTGATTATATCAGTTTTGATGCAATTAGTACAGCATTAATTAGACTTCGTTTATAGATTGAGTAGATTAAGATACATTTTGTACATATGATGTTGTTTAATTAATATTCAAGAACCACCTTTATACAGTGTACCTCCTTCTTAAACAGTTTTGAACTTTGCAAACTGTCAAATGTGATTCTCATCTTAATAGCAGTACTTCAAAATAAATACTATTAGAAATTGAAGTCTATACGAAAGTCTAGTCTCTACATTGCTTGATACATGTGCGTAAACTAGTGTAAATACTGCATACTCTGTTCAGTTCAGTTTATTGTTAAGAATTCATGTTTTTCAGGTTTCTCCCAGATAAAATCTAGAAAAGATGATGAAACAAAATTACCCTTCACATAGATTTTGAGTAGAGTAACATTAAAACTTATTGTTATTATCATACATGTAGACTTATTTTTGAAAGCCATTGTCTTGGTGTACATGTATTGTCCCTGTTACGTTCTTTTTGGATTGTTAATTTTGGTCTTTTCCTAAAAATAATGTTGAACTGTCATCAATATGCGACAATACTAACATCCACATAGGGTCATTTAGTGTTATAAAAGAGTTAAAACAGAGGCAAATCAATACCACAATGTACACACGTGAAAATGCACTTCTCTTTCGTGTATTAGGCCATGTTGATTTGATTATATGGATGACATCCTCTGGGAACCCCAAAACTGATGCGAGCGTCCGAATAAAAAAAAGTTTGGCAAAAGAAAAGTTGCTTTCATTCTGAACTCTACATGGCCTTGAAGGTTGAACAAATGACATGGTAAGGTATGGCGAATAATCTTCTCTTCAAATTCATTTCTTTACATTTTCGTCTTTTTCGTTTGATTTTGGCATTCTACGACATTGATTTTGTTTTCCAATATTTTTTGTGCAACTTACGGTATATATTTGCTAATTTTGCAACTGTTTTGTACGATTTACAACATGGTTGAAACCTTTTTTTTTTGGAAACGGCCGAAAATTCATGCACGCGCGGATGTCATCCATATAATCAAATCAACATGGCCTTAATGTCACTTCTTAACAGTGCCTTGGGATAGCCACTTAATGATGATATTGTAATCTGTATGTCATGTAATAATTGTGTATAATATGCCTATTGTTTGCTATAATGGCTGTATAGTTGAATATAGCTGCAATTTTGTATTTGTTGTCCTCAAGGAAGTTACAAAGATTAAGATTGATTAAGTAATGATAATTAAATGCTGACTTGTGTTATTTTTGCAAACATCCACATCTTTGTAAACTTGCTAACAATTCATGCATTTTATTGTTACAACTGTACAACGTTGCCAATGTAATATCCCTTTGGTGCAAGTGTAGTTAAGAACCCAGTTTATATAATTTACAATGTCGTGTAGAAAAATTCATTTCAAAATGTATAGGAACTAGAGCAGAGTACAGCTACATATACATGTACTTTGTATGGCTTTCGTCTTGTCCAAGTTTCAGGTGATTTAGCACTGAAAGAAAAATGTCACAGACAATGCATTGCCCAACTGTACTTGCCTCTGAAACTTCAGGAGTGTACTAAAAATGAATTCAGGGCTGGACCCTGTACCATTCTCCTGAGTTCTTCTTTGAAAGGATATACATTGTATGTAAAACCTACAACTAGCAGCTCTGATCTTACATTGTGGTGACAGTTACCCGGTATACATGGTAAACAAGTTATTTTTGCTGTAGGTGTTAGTGCAATATGAACCTTTATTATCATCAATGTATGAAGGTGAATAAATGCTAATCTTGATGCTGCAATTAACTCTTAGTTTTTGTCAGTCTTTCTTTTAATTAATTGTTAGGCCATGTTGATTTGATTATATGGATGACATCCGTGCGTGCGAATTTTCGGCCGTTTCCAAAAAAAAGAAGTTTTCATCCATACTGTAAATCGTACAAAACAGTTGCAAAATGAGCAAAAATATACCATAAGTTACAAAAAAAATTAATAAAAACTATACCAATGTCGTAGAATGCCAAAATCAAACGAAAAAAGACGAAATTGTAAAGAAATGAACTTGAAGACTAGATTATTCGCCAAACCATATTCTGTGCCATTTGCTCAACCCCCATGACCACGTAGATTTCATAATGAAAAGAACTTTTTTTTTTGCAAAACTTTTTTTTTATTCGCACGCGCACATCAGTTTTGGGGCTCCCGGAGGATGTCATCCATATAATCAAATCAACATGGCCTTACTGGCCAAAAAAAAAAACCCGTCTGATAAAATGTATACGCTTCAGAGGCATCCCTCTTTCAAAATGAAATGGATGTTTTGATATATAATGTACTATTCGAAAGCAGGTGTATCTATCAAACAAATGTTCACTTGGTACAATGCATTTTGGTAGATACATGCATTTTCTTTCCCATAACTCGTATTTCCCTTAGAAATATCCTAGACTGGAACTCGTTGCCACCAAGCACAGTTGGGGCATCATCACTAGAAAGCTTTAAACAACTCCAACTAAATGTGCAAAAATTGAGTGTAACAGGTCGTTCAGTGTGATATACATGTAGCTAGCTGCCGCCGCAGAAAAAGAAGGTTAGAAGAATCAAGCAAACAAGTATTAAGAATACAATATATTCTAAACATGCATATGGCAGAGTCAAAAACCCTGGTATACAAAATTTCCTCCATCCACAATCCATGGCTAAACTAACAATGAATTACCACTGATTAAATGACGGCACATTTTATAATACTAACGTTAATTGTATAGAAAACAAAGTTCGTCTTGTCTTAGAATACACATAACAACCATTTATTTATTTATTTCCTTGTTTATAAGAACCATTGTTGATCTCACTGTGCTGTACATGTTGGTTTACCCTAAATATGTAACGTTATTCATCTAGCAAAAGACATTTTTTCTGATCTGAGCTTGGTATTTTTTAAAAATCTTATTCACATTATATTTATTGAATATTGGGCAAAAAGCACAAGTTTACGTATATAACACCTTCTACTGAAAAACATAAAACAAGTGTAAAATACATTGACAAGATACATGCATAATTACATATGAATGAAAACCAAGCAGATGCATGGTGGAAGGTAAAATCGTAACAGCTTGGGGATTGCCATAGTTATACGCCTGGCAGGGACTCTGTTTCCATTGATATGATATTGAGAATGACACCGAAAATTCACAACTTGATTTCATTCTTACACATTCTTCGTCAGTGTGATAATATTCAGTTTGTTGTCATGAAGAAAATACCAGGTTCAAACTGAAGCTATCTCTGTCCTTGGTGCTGAAAGCTATCCCTACACAACGCCCCCCTCCCCTGTTCGTAAGAATATTGCGCCGTTGCCGAGCATTTTCACCTCCCATAACCGCATAAATCGGCTCCTTTTCTCTGTAAAGGCAGTTCTCACAACTCTGTAGCTTATCTAGGGGAACATAATTGCCCAAAATAGTCCCGTTCGTCCGAAAATCCTTCGTAAATTTTTCACGGTCGCATGCATTACCGAGTAGGAGAGTCTTCGGTAGAAGGTGGAACGATAGAAGGTACGTCATTTTCTCTAATTCCAACAAAAATGCAATTATGGCATGCGCTTTATACTAGATAAATAATTCAAAACAATAGTTGACCAGGTTGTCGATAGAATTTGTTGGAAATATTACATCGAGGAAGGGGGAGGGGATGTTCTTACGTCATCCCTGCATGTCCGTGACCGTTACTAGGCATTATGGGAAGTGTGAAATTGGTGAATAAGCTGTTTATGTGCAGTATGAAACATATCACTCTTGCCCAATTTGCCTATTAATTGTAAATTTATTTGCTTTATTTATTTTACTTTATTCCGTCACGGTGGTAGAATAGGGCCACACCAATTTAATTTGTTGGTTCTCGGATTTTTTCAGAAAAAATATGAAGCGACAGGGCGAAAAAAATTAAAAATAAAAAAAAAAGGTCTAGGCATCCTATTATTGCCGGTAACACAAGTCAAAACCCTAGTAACAAAAGTTTACAACAGTATACAAATGTAACGGTTATGAATATTGTAATTAGAGTAATATGTAAATGACCATGTGGAAAGACTTGTATTTGAGAGCTATGCATACATTTGCGCGTTAGGTAGGCACTGATTGGTTGGTGAGAGCAACCAATCAGGTTAGGGACTATTGTGAACAGAGTTGGGCTTGGGAAAGACAATCGCTGTGTAAGTTAGTCGTGACCTGGATCCAAGGTATGTGTACATGTTTAGTTGTAGCTCTGTAGATAAGTAGATTGTATAACTGCTAGTACCACATCTGTGTAATCCTAGACCATTGGTAACCCTCTGTGTAACTACGTGCTAAACTCCTTGTGAACCATTAGACCACATCTACCTGTTTTAGAGTTAACATACGGATCAATAAACCCGGCTCAGCAGAAGTAATCGAACTGTTTGGATCTTTCTCTAATAGTATACTAAGATATATAGAAGCTAAGATACCAAACGACCACTAGACCTCAAATATTACACAAATTAAAACATTACAATGTGGAATATAACAACCTTTTCATTTTTATTCAATACAGTGACTTAAATAACACCTTTAGGGCTACATTTCATAATGAAGCAAAGTAAAGCAGTCCAAGCATCAATTG